GTAGTAGTTTGTCTAAATTGTTCTTTTTCAGCAGTGGTTTGATATTTGCTGTTTTTTAGGGACTGCGTGTTAATTATCTGAGTCAAATCAGACGCTATGACAGGCAAAACTTTCTTAAAGAAAGCTGTGGGTAGAACATCAAGGCAGCAGGAGGAGGAACTTAGCTGCTGAATGATTTCCTCTAAGCTTTTATAGTTTTTTTTGCTGAATTGGGACATTTGGTCAAGATCAATTCCAGTTGGAGACAACTTTGGTACTGAACTTGATATGGATGTATATATATAAAAGACAAATAAGTTACACATTGTCCCTTTAACAGCTTGTTGAAAAAAAAACGTTATTGTCATGTCAAAAGCGTTATTGTCATGATTTTGTCTAGAGCTCGGAGCCACATGCAGATAAACCAATCCAGAGAGACAAAGGGAAAAGTTTAACAGGTTTTATTGAGAAGTTTTGTGGAGATTCCAGTGTTGCTCTGAACACTGCTCAACTGGAACTAAAAGGTGAGGGGAAGACACTGCGGTTAGTTCAGGTTCAGTGGGAAAATTGATTCTCGAACTTGAAGAGGAGGAAAGGTAGGAGGTGAAGATGAATCCCTTGCTCAGTTTGAAGCTCAAACGATTCCTCGGGGGGAATGTGGATCCAAACGTCCGGTTTGTATCCCCAGCTCAGTTTGAAGCTCAGTAGATCCTTCCAGGGAGAGAAGGTCCGAAAATCCAGTTTGCAGGATGACTTCCCAAAACTGGCAAACACTCTGGCGTCGAGGTAGTGGCAGTCAGCAGCTTAAAAGCACTCCGTTAATGAGGTAACCCCTTGCAGGTGTGTGAGGAGGAGAATCAGAACCAGGCGCCGCCTGGTGGAGGAAAGAAGACAAACACACAAAAACACAGACCACACAGACCGGAGTCCTAACAGTTATGGCAACATTTAGTTTACTTTTGGGGTAATTTTTTAATTAAACAGAGAAGAATAAACATTTGGCCAATGCCTGGTCTCAGCATGGCCCATGGGATTATTGTCTTTCTAAAGAATGGAATCCTGTATTAAACATGAATTGTTGGACAAGGACTGTTTAAAGCCTTTTATGGGACATTTGAAACATTTGGTGGGTTTGCAGTAGAATGGTCTTTTTACACCATTTTAGGCCATGCCCATCAAGACACTGTGGTCAAAGAAAGGCTTTGGTTTCTGGTTACAGGTTCCTCCTTAGGTTTATCATTTGTCAGGCTCTCTGGGCTATTGAAGTTGTTTAAAGAGGTTGACAAGAAGTTTTGACAGAATCTGTATGTATTTGTAGGTTAGACCACTTATTTTCTGATGAAAAACATTGATCTGCAAATTGTTCTAATGTGGGTATCTAAGTTTACAGCAAAATGTTTGACTTTTTTTTAGTCTGATAAACGAGACTAAATGGGAGATGAAAGGTATTATTTAGCCTGACCCTGATGAATGAGACATTGGAAGATTGTTGATGAGAACAACCTGTTGTTTTTCAAGCCATGTCTGTGCCTATTGGCCAATTAGCGCAACTGACTGTGACATAGGAAGCACGACAGAAAGCTGATGGGGGAGTGTAAACAGACAGCCTGTCGGTAAAAGAGCCTCTTCCTGCTGATCCTTCCAACCCAAGTCTAATCCTTCAAAAACTGATTCCACAGCGGAGCCAAAAATCGCCATCAGAGCCAGCGGTCCTTCACACACGACTATGCCGATAGAGGGCCGCTGCAGACGGGCTGCGGTTAGCCCTGGCTGACGTTAGCCTTGGAGGTCCGCCGGTTGCTGCGGTCCTTTCAACTTCAGAAATTGTTTCTTTTTTAATTACGCATTAAATCGGTAAATTGACCATATAGTGACGCTTTAAAGTGTAATATTCTCACCTCAAATTGTCTTAAAATGTACTTTTATTGAATAACAGCAACAGAAAAAGAACTTTTAACTTTCAATGGAGCGCTCCATTGCAAGCTACTGCTGCCGCAGTGCATGCTACTGTTGTGCTTTCTCCAACGTCCTGCAGCTTTTTCGTCACACCCTCTAAGCCCCGCCCGCTTTGCATCCAGAAATTCAAAACACATCTCTGCGTTGTGATTGGCCCGCCAGTTCTTGGGCATTGATCGAGGCTAGACCAAACTCGCATGCAAAAATGATTTTGGTCACTGGCAGGTGGGGATAGTTTACTAGGCTAACTTTTTTTCTTTTTACCAAATTGTGTGATTTTCCTTCAAAGAAGATATTTATAATTCAACATTTTCTAATTACTTGTTTTTCTGGGTTTGATGCAGGTCAGCTGGAACAGCCATGTATCTCCAGAGACATCATGAAGAAAGAAGCTAACCAAGGAGATAAACTAAGGAGCCTATTGACATGTGGTGGGGACTCTTTGGAGAGTTATAACAGATTTGTTATTGTTGTTAACAAAAGCAATCCAGAACAAGTTCAATACCTTAATTTTCTAAGTAAGTTAAAACTGTTCTGTGTGTTGGACTTTGACCCCAACTCTGTAGCTGAAGGTGGACTGTGTCATTCATACAGAGAGTTGAGGGTGGCTAATCTGCATTTGCCAACACAATTTCAGGGACATACTGAAGCTGTTATAAACGAGCTCAACCTTTACCTCCAGACAAGCTGGGTCTTCTGTAATGGGAGAAATGACCTTGATGATTACAGGGAGTTAGACTATCGAACCTGGCTGAGAAAGTCTTGCAAAGATTTGGAACAGTTGGTTTCTTTCATCTGCAACCCTGATGTTTTGCATGATGGAAGATACCTTGTTATCTTCCTTCTCCTTTCCCCCGTGCACTCAGAGAAAGACCCGGTCCTTGACACTTACATGTCTTTTATTAAACACATAGCTGAGAGTAACATTATAAGCATTTGTGAATCTCAGAATACATATTTAAAATGGAGGGAACTTATAAAAGCAAAGTGTGACTTTGACATTGAACATTTGTCCATAAATGAGCTAAGTCTAAGTGAGATCAATGGAACCATAATGGGGCTTGGTCCTGTCACTCAGTCATCTACAAGGCTGCTTCCTTCTTCTGGTTCCAGTACTGTTGTCCTGAAACAGAAAGATGAAGATCTACTGACAGCTCTGGATGTTTTATGTCTGAATCAGTGTGAAAAAATATATGAAGAGAGCAGTTCAGAGTTTCATGACTTCAGAAAAACAGTAGAGGAGGAGTTCTACAGAGGAGCCAAAGTGAGATGGTGGAACTTTTACTTCTGTGACGAAAATGCAGAGAGGCCATTTATCAAGAGAGAAAAGTATGAACATGTGAAGAAAATGATCAGATCACACAGGACATCTTCAAGCAACACCTGTGTGCTTCTAACACTGTTTCATGACCCAGGATGTGGTGGTACCACCCTAGCAATGCATGTGATGTGGGATCTCCGTAAGGAGTTCAGGTGTGCTGTTTTGAAAGACAACACGGTACCAAAAACAGAGGTGGCCAACCAGGTCCAACATCTGATGAAGCTGGAAAGTGAGACCCCATCCCCGGTTCTGCTTCTGGTTGATGACTCAAAGGAGATGGACAATGCATTTGACCTGCTGATCTGCATCCGCCAAGCTGTAGAGGATCTTTCAGACATTCATTTGGATGATGCTCCTAACTGTAAGGTTATCATCTTAAACTGTGTACGTTCCCACGACCCCAAAGAGCAATACAGAAAAAACAATCAAACCCAAAATCAGTACCTAACTGCCAAACTGACACCAGAAGAGCAGAAAGAGTTTGAAAAGAAACTCAAAGAGCTAAAGGAAACCCATGACAAACCTGAAAACTTCTACAGCTTCATGTTCATGAAAAACAATTTTGATAGGAAATACACAGAAAATCTTGCTCAAAACACGCTGGAGAACTTTGACTTCAGCACCAAGGAGGCTAAACTCTTCTCCTTTCTGTCCCTACTCAACACGTATGTCACAAAGTCAGAGATGGCACTTTCTCTCTGTGAGGACTTTTTTCAGATGAAGATGTTACGCTGGAAAGAAGACTCTGTTTTGGATCGAATGAAGCCCTATTCCAACTTTCTTATCATAGAATCAGTTGATGAATGGGGAGGATACAAAGGAATACGGATCCTTCATCATGCAATAGCAGCTGCCTGTCTGGAAGAGCTGGAGAGAAGTCATGATCTAAAGGCTAGTGACATTGTCATGGAAATCCTCCATTATGATCTGTTCTTCAGTGTTGGAGTTGTTAAACATAGACTGATGCGTTCAGTTATACGAATGTTAGTAGAAAGGCAGCTGAAGAAAAATGGAGAAGAGAGGGAACCTTTTTCTCCTCTCATTGACAAAATCCACAGCCAGCAAGGGAGACAAAAAATCCAAGAAATCTTTGAGAAAGCCTCGTCCAGGTTTGAGAAAAAATTATCCATCCCTCAGGCACTGGCAAGATATTTGTACATCAATGTGAAGGACTTCCCAGAGGCCATAAAATGGGCGGAGAAAGCCAAGAACATCCAAGAAAACCCCTATACCTTCGACACAATTGGGGAAATCCACAAGAGCAATCTGAGGTTCAACATTAAAGAAAAGAAGGAAGGGCACAACCCAGACAATCTGCACATGAACATTGAAATAGCCAACAATGGCTGGAAAGCTTTCAAAAGGGCTCAGGAACTGGCAGACCTCGAAAATGAAATAGAAGAATCTCCTGACGATGAGTCAGAGGATTATCCCAGGAATTCCTACAATATTAAAGGCTACGTGAAAATGCTGGAGATCTCCTTCTTGGTCTTTGAGATTCTGAGCAGGTTACCATTCTTCGAAGAACATGATCCAATGAAAAAACACTACTTAAGAAGTTTTCTTAACGGACAGATCCCAATCAGCAACGTTTACAAAGAGAACACCGACTACAACAACAGATGTGTTGAGATCATTAAAGAACACGAACTGTTCCTGGTCAAAAGGAAAGAGATCAAAGAAATCTTTGATCTCTTGAACGACAACTTCACCTACATAAAGCAGAACTCAGAACTGGATGCAGTAAACAAAAGGATAGTGAGTGTTCATTTTAAGAAATATGTGGATCTGTTTTGTTCCACACCACAAGAAGTGAAAAAGGAAAAGGAAAACAAAATGAATCTTAGTCAAAAACTGGAGGTTGAAGAATGTAAACAATTTCTGGAGAAGAACCAAGCAGATACTTTCTCAGGAATCCTTCAGTACTTGGACAAACCTGCTGAGGAGATGGAGCAAATAACAGATTGCTATGCATTTATACTGCAAAATGATATCAATGAACGACATGTTAAAACAAAAATCAATTACATCATGTCCAACATAGTCCTTCATCATCTAAAACCTAAATCTAAACATGTTAAGAAGTACAAAGACCTCTGCACTCTGCTTCAAGATGTTCTCCAAGATGTCGGACTTCGACATCCTTTCCCAGATCCATATTTTCTGGCTCAGTTGTTATTCTGGCCAAGCCCTACAGAAGAAAACATTGACATAACTAAATATGTTGAAGCAATTCGAAAGTCTTCTCACAAGCACCTGTCCAAGTTGCTTCAAAAAAGGAGCACTGTCGCCTCCCTCTACTTAGGTAAAGAACAAGGTCTAAGGAAGCTGGTTTCAAAGCCATCACTGGATAAGAGTTTTCTTCCAAAGATGAACAGAGATGTTTTAGCACAACTTTGGAGAGATGGAGACATATTTAAGGAAGAGGCCATCATAAGCCGCCTTTACAGGGTGAGGGGAACCATTGAACAGGGGGGGGTTTATGCCATCTATGGCAAACAGAGGATCCCAGTGCGCCCAGCTCGTACCAGTGATATTAGAAGTGGCTTCAGTACTGAGACGGTCTCATTCTACATTGGGTTTGCTGTTAATGGACCTGTGGCATATGACATCAAATATGGAAAAATTGGAAATGAACGCAATATGATCTGAAAATATATAAACTGAACATGGATAATGAGCAAAAATAATTAAGTCTTAATCAAAAATCTTTATTAAGTTTTGAATGGATTCACAGAGGACCAGCTACAATGGAACCACAGGTTTCTCTCCTGTCTACATTCATTTGTCTGGGTGCTTTTCACAGAGACTTAATAACCGAGTTAGGAAGCAGCTTCAACCATTGCTTTTTCAGAAGAACCTCTATGCTGTTCATTTGAGCATTTTAGACTAAACTACAAAATGTGGGCAGTGTCCAGTAGTGTTCAGATCATTGTAATGAAATGTTGTCTTAGATAATGTTTCTCAATTTCAGAAACAGCTTTTGAATAAAAGCAAGGAGCCTTTTCACCCAATTATTTTTTTAAAGAACCTGACCTCCCAGTTTATTACTCTTACATGAAGCTTTTTTTGCCTTTTTTTAAAAGTTTTTTTTCAGCACTTGTGGCAGTTGTTTTTTTTCCGGACAGTAGGCTGACAGGAAAGGGTGTATGAGAGAGGGGGAGAAACATGCAGCAAAAGACCACAGGTCAGATTCAAACCCGGGTCGGCTGCTTCGAGGCCTCCATACATGGGTCGTGTGCGCTAACAACTGTGCCACCAAAGCACGCCCATTACATTAAGCTTTTCATGATTGTAAAAATATTAGACAACATCTCACCTGGGTAAATAACCATATATCTGTTTCGGAATTAAGGTAAAAAAAAAGTAAATTTATTTGCTATTTCTTCTGTATTTTTAAGTGTAAAATCATGTTATTGTGTAATAAAGTCATTTTCAATCATTCTTCATTAGCACAGATGTTGATTCCTTAACAGTAGGGCTTATTTTTTTTTTTTCAGACTTAAGCTGATTGAAAGTTTAATCTTGATTCTCATTCTTGTTGTTTTAGTTATCACTTAAAGATCTCCAGCTCAGCTAAGCTGACTTTATTTGGTTATCAAAACAATAGAGAACCTTACTATTGACATCCTAAAATTTTAAATAATTATTTTAATAATACATCTCTCTAGTTATTCAGTGAAATGTGTGATATACTTTGATCAAATAGCCAATTTCTATCTAATAACTTTTTTTTAAGAACCCTGGTTATGCAAATGCATGATCTTGATAGACGTGCAACACAAAGTCACACTTTGACTTTACAGTTTTTTTGGATTGCTTACACACTAAAGTTAAAAGTAGTACACTATTAGCAAAACGTTACACTCAAGAAGCAAAACATCAGCCCATATTTGCACAACTATAAGCACATTGTCAACCTCACACTTGTTGCAAAACTCTGCACACAGTGATTTGCAAAACACTAAACACACTTAACATACATTACACACAAAAATCTATTATGAAGTCACTTCCTTGCAATACCAAAGCACTGACTGTCAAATTACCGCACCTTCTAACAAATTGATTCAACACAGTCATCAGGTGTGCAAACACTTGTTTGCTTAATTGTAGACACACCAATCAGGTGTATAAGCACTATAAAAAGCAGCAGGTGAGTTCATCAGTCTTCAAGCACAATGGAAAGAGTCAGAGAAATAGTTAGACGAGGTGGAGGAGAAGGAGGAGGACAAGGACAAGGAGAAGGACAAGGAGGAAGAGGAGGAAGGGGAGGGGGAAGGCCTCCTATGTTCATAGAACAGCAAGAGAGGGAGATAGTAAACATGGTTTTGGCCAACAATGCTATAACCCTCAATCAGCTCCAAGCTAACATTGTCAATAACCATGTCGGTTTCAACAATATCCATCAGGTCTCAACATCAACACTGGCACGCATCCTAACAAAAAACCATATTCAAATGAAGAAAATTTATCGAGTGCCTTTTGAGCGCAATTCCGAAAGGGTGAAACGACTGCGGCATGATTATGCAGAGGTATGTATTCACCTAAGCATTGTGATCTTACATACTGTCTCATAATCTTTTACTGTACTGTTATATGTATACTAGATCTACACTGAACACAATTTTGCCTGACACTGTTCTTCAGAGAGTTTTACAAATGGATGGAGAGGAGATCCAGCATGAGTTTATTTACATAGATGAGGCTGGGTTCAACCTGACGAAAACACGGAGGTGAAGAAACATCATTGGCCACAGGGCTATAGTCAATGTCCCAGGGCAACGTGGGGGTAATATAACACTCTGTGCAGCCATTACACAGAATTGGGTCCTCCACCGCCATGCCCATATGGGCCCTTACAACACAGCACTCATACTTACATTCTTGGACCAATTGCACAACATAACAGCAGCAAATGAAATCGATCATATGCAATACATTGTTGTCTGGGACAATGTGTCTTTCCACCACTCTGCTCTGGTTCAGAACTGGTTTCAGCGACATCCACATTTCACCGTCCTATATCTTCCACCATACTCCATTTCTCAACCCTATAGAAGAGTTTTTCTCGGCATGGCGGTGGAAGGTATATGATCTCCGTCTCCAGCCTGAGGTACCCCTCATCCAAGCCATGGAGGAGGCCTGTGACCAGATGGAGGTAGCAGCAA